GGGTGCAGCTGGACCATCCGGTGAGACCCCTGCTCCTGTCCAGGCCACCAGAGACCTTCTTGTTGCCAAACTCAGTCCAATGGACACGTCTCTGTCCTCACATCCCAGCTCCAGCAGCGTCCTACACTGACCTCTCCTTCCGCGCTTCCTGGGTCGTCCAGCTGTGACTCCACCCCTCCTGCTTCCTTGTGACCTCATGGCCCCTCCTTCGGGGTCCCCTTTCCTGCTCCCCGTCCTCTGTCTGACCTTCTGGCGTTGCAGAGAAGCCCCACGTCTCAAGAGGATTTGTGAATAAGTGAATCACCCGAAAGTCCCCAGACCCCCCTTCCTTCATTCACCCAAAAGTGGTGCACAAGGAGAGCGCATCCCCCCGGCTCCCTGTAGGTGCTGCAGGTGCAGCAGGGAGCTCACCTGGTGGGTGAGAGGTACTATATGTAAAGAAGCAGGTAGCGTCCTAGAATGCAAGGTCCCGATAAGGAAAGTAAAGCAAGAGAAGGTGACAGAGTGCATGGTGGGGGGGCAGCAAGTGCAAAGGTCCTGAGGCAGGGACGTGCTTTTGCAGGAAGATGGCCGTGCAGCTGGAGCCAAATGAGCAAGGGAGATAACGTGTTAATACTGAAATCAGAACCGTAGAAAGAATCCAGAGGCTCCAGGTGTTAGGAGGTCCCCGGAGTTTCCATCAGGAAAGTGACCTGACCTAAGGTTTTAAAGCATCACTCTGCCAACACAGTGGAAAGCTGACGGAAGGAGATCACAGTGGATCCAGGAAGTCCCCTTTCTGTCCTACTCTCTCCCTCCAGCAGAACAGGCAGGATGCAGACCCCCAGGAGGGGACGTACGCCCAGGTGAACCACTCAAGATCAAGACTAAGGCGGGGGGTGGCCACCTCTCCTTCCTCCCTGTCGGGGAGATTGCTGGACACGAAGGACAGACAAGCGGAAGAGGACGAGCAGAGGGACGGTCAGGTGGGTCCCATTCTGTCTGGGCCCCCAGGTTTCCCCCACCCCAACCACACACCCTCCCTCCCTCTCCCCCACCGCAGGCCGCCGCATCTGAAGCCCCCCAGGATGTGACCTATGCCCAGCTGAACCACTCGACCTTCAGACGGGAGACTGCAACCCCTGCCCCCCAGTCAGGGGAGCCCCCAGAAGAGCCCAGCGTGTATGCTGCTCTCGCC